TGTGTGTGTGTGTGTGTGTGTGTGTGTGTGTGTGTGTATGTGTGTGACCAATCAGGTGTTTTAGGCAGGTTAAGTCACACAGCTTCACAGAGTTAAACGAATGCAACATATCTTTGTATCATTAAACAAATGTTCCATAGCATAAAAAATGTAATAATCTTTAACCAATATTCCACAATAGCTTTGTTTCTGTGATAAATATTCTAACCAAAAGCAACTTATGGAGCAAAGGGTTTATTCGGCCTACAGGTTACAGTCCATCATCAAGGAATGCAGGCAGGAAGTGAAAGCAGGCACTGTGGAGGAATGCAGCTCACTGCTTGCTGGCTTGCTCAACTAGCCTTCTTTCTGGTTTTTGTTTCATTTTGCTTTTTGTTTGTGTTTTTTAAGACAGGGTTTCTCTGTGTAGTCCTGGCTGTCCTGGAACTTGCTCTGTAGACCAGATTGTCCTTGAACTCAGAGATTCACCTGCCTCTACCTCCCAAGTGCTGGGATTAAAGGCATGCACCACCATTGCCCAGTTCAACCAATTTTCTTTACAGCCCAGGCCTCCCTGTCTATTAGGGATGGCACCTCCCACAGTGGGCTCGGCCCTTCTACATTGATTAGCAATTCAGAAAATGCCCAACAGGCCAGTCTGATCAAGACAATTCTTCAGTTGAGGTTCCCTCTTCCCAGATAAATAAAGGTTTGTGTCAAATTGACAGCTGACTCTAACTATGATCAACATACAGGGAAGAAATATTAATTTTATCGGAATGAAACATACAATGTATTAATATCCTGAGTATGTCCAGTGCCCCCAATGCTCTAGTTTCTTTTCTGGTACTTTGACAAACGCCATGACCAAAAGCAACTTGCAGGGAGGAAAGTTCTATTTTAGTTTATAGGTTACAGTCCATCATTGAGAGAAGTCAGACAGATACCTGAAGCAGAATCCATAGGGGAACACTGCTGGATGGCTCACTAGCAGGCTCATGCCTAGCCAGCTTTCTTATGCAGCCCAGGGCCACCTGCTAAGCAATGGTGTGGCCCACAGTGGGCTGGGCTCTTCTACATCAGTCAGTCAAGATGATTCCCCACAGCCATGCTCACAAGCCAATCATGAGACTCCCTTCTCAGGTAATTCCAGGCTGTGGAGTGGACAAAGCTAAATAGGAGATCTAGAAATCAATACAAAAAGGACATCTGCATTTTAAAAGACAGCCGATTCACATTAGAGCAGCTGTCAATAACAGTCACAAACTACTTGATCTGACTTGTCATCCAGGGAAATAAAAATAAAGTGACTACCATTATTTTCCCATCAGAAAGAAAGGCTGAAGTTTTAAAGAATGATCAAGTATGCCTCAGTATTCGGGGCAAGCAACACAAATGCAGACAATGAAGATTACTATACTCACACTTAGATCTATCAGAAAACAAAAAAGGTGACTTTTAAAAGAGTCGGATGGTTTTCTTTGCAGGTCTATTAACGGGTGGGCCTGTGCTGGTGACCATGGGGCAGGAACAGTCATGTGGGCTGTAGAAATCACAGCGGTCTGAGCGCATGGCAGTAAGAACGGACCCCCCACCAAGCTAAGGGTGAACCCCATTCAGACAATGATGATGCCCTCAGTGCTCTCCAGGAAGAAAACTGGTGTGAACTGGGGAACCCCAAAATGCAAAAGAACAATGGCGCAGTGGGTGGGTCCACTCCCCACCCACTGGTTTGTAATGGCAAATTGGAAAACGTCTAATACATTTTGTGAAATTTCCTTAAGGAGTCCCACATTTAAAGCTATTTGTTGGCTCCACGGCTGACTGGGTTGCTCTTGAGTTATCCTGCATGAGTTTGGCCTTTAAAAAACAACAACAACAACAACAACAACAACAAAAACAAACAAACAAACAAAAAACTTTTTTCAACTTTGACCTTAATTAAGGTCTGATTTCTAACACAGTAACCCTTGAATGCACTGTTTACACCTATTTAAAGTGGAGATCTTGTTTTACAATCTTCCTGAAAAGCAAATTTGTTCTAGACATGAAGTGGGGCTTCAGTTGCTTTAAAGTGAAGGTAAAAAAAAAAAAAAAAACAAAAAAAACAAGAACGATCGTCTAGTTAACATGCGGGTGGTTGTAATGTTCCGAAATGAAAAAGAAACAACCCCAGCTGAGGCCGGAATCAAGAAACTCAAACACACACGGAGCCCAGGGCTCCGAGGGCAGCGAGGGCAGCGCAGACCTAGAGACCAGTCCCTAGTCCCAAGCACCGGGCACTTTCTGAGCAGAACTGCGAACAGGAAACCTTGTTGACGTCTTGTCACTTTGTCACAGGACCGCACAAGTAAAGCACGCTTGAGTTTTTTTTTTTTTTTTTTCTTTTCTTTCCTTCTTTTCTTTCTTAATTGGCCATCTTCGGGGTCATTTTGAGAAGCGGGGAAGGAAGAGCGAAAGGAGTGGCAGGGACCTGCTATCCATTTCCCTAGGGAGGAAAGGCTGAAAGTGATTGGCTGAAGTTAGAAGCGAGGTTACCCCCTTTCAGGTGCTTCAAGGCGGGAATCAAGAACAGAAATCCAAGAACTAAAGTTACAAGGTGAACATTGGCGCCAAGGACCGGCGGGGTCATCAGTCCCCGTAATTCCACTTTCACCCCAAGACCATTGAGAGATCCAGTGACCCCTGTGCACCCGGGATCCCACGTCAATTCCTCACCCCGCTTCCCTCGGAGAGTGGGCTTAGCCTCGCAGTCGATGCACCTCCTATACCCCTCTTTTTCTGGCTCCGCCGCCGCGGGGTCCATCTTGTTGCCGTCTGTTGCCACAGCAACCGCAGAGCGGCTCACACTCTAGCAAGAGAAGCGATGATTGGAGAAGGCGGGCGTCCCTAGCAACCGCCAGGTACGGAAGTCATACATTTTATTTCGTTTCTTGGGACACAGGCTTCACTCCCATCCCAACGCTATTAGTCACACCTTTCCCGGCTTTTCAAAGCCACTTCACACATGATCTCCGTGAACACCTGCCTCTTCAGGATACACTAGATCCCCATTTCCACAGGAGTGTTCATCCTGTGGTCCTTTGACCTCCTCCAGAGGCCCTTTGACCTCCTCCAGAGGCCCTTTGACCTCCTCCAGAGGTCCCTGAATGCCCGTCAGTTACGTGCTGAAGGAGTTGGAAGCCCATAGCATCCCCCAAAGTAACTTCCAGATGGATTAGCCCATCTTCCTTTTCTGAGACAGAAAACAAAGTGGTATTCTACCCAGAGTTTATTTACATTTATTTAAATTGGACCTTAAGACATCTCCCAAAGACTTTAACTAGTGTTATTCCTTCACCCGTTCAATTTTTAAAAAGGCCTATCTAATTTGATCAATGATTATTGGTTATATATTAGTCATCAGGGGAATAGTCTAGGCACTGAAAGATTGCAACTGCCAAGAAGGCTTCACCAGGAGTTGACTTCTGGTATACACATGGTCACGGATAGTGTTGTGTGTAACGTGGTCAAATCATGGAGAGTGGTGAGTGTGTTGATCGCTGGACAGGGTGGTCAGGGGTGGCCTTTTTGAGGAGACAGCACAGGAGCTGAAGCATGGGAAGATAAAAGCGATGGAGTGGTCAATGAGAAAGCAAGATGTAACAGAAACCGGACATTAAGGGCAGACTTGAGTTTGAGTCAGTCTAGAAAAGGAGAGGTCAGTCTAGAAAAGGAGAGGTCAGTGAGGCTGCAACAGTGAGGTATGAAGGACGGTGATAAGAAATAATGAGATGGCTCTTTGCAGAACTGCCCCACCACCAGTATCCATTGCTTCTGTCGCCTGTCACACCCTATCACGTCACCCTATTTATTTCCTTCGCAGCTCTTGTTAGCTAGTTTTCCCCTGTGGGCTCCATCAGCGCAGACTGTGTTATTTGTATCCCAGCACCTAAAATTGTAACTGGTCCAAGACCAACACTAAATAAACACTTGTTGGCTGCGTCAAGTTCCACACCACAATACCAGGAATCAGGGGCTGACTGTGGGGGTGTGGGAGAAAACAAGAGCAATACCTCTGCCTTCAGGACTTTGAATTACTCTATTAGTGAATTAATTGTGTGCAGAATTGGATGGTTTAGACTCTGAGCGCTGTGCAAAGTTGTTGTGCAACCCCCGATAGTTTCTTTATTCTTTCAATTACATCTCAATTCAAGGTCACAAGTGTAGACTACCTACTGTCTACTGAGCACTGATAGAAAGCCATCAAGGCAGACATCAACTATGCCTGTGAAGCTTATGGTCTCTGGATAGTATGTCCACTACAGCTGACTCTTGGAGCTCAATAGCTCCTGTGGCCCTGAGTTCTCAATATGTGTCTGGTCCCAGCAGGAAGGTGGACTAGATGTAAATTTGGGTCATAAAGACTTTGAGCAAAAGAAAAACAAAAAATACCTCTTTGCTAATTTAAAAATATTGACTTCATATTAAAATGGCAATGTTTTAGATATACTAGGTTGGATACACTGCTATTAAAATTAATATTACTTGTATTTTCTACTGCTTCGTATGGCTCTGTTAGAATGTTAAGCTACAGATGTGGCTGGCCTTAAATGTGCATTTGATAACGCCTCTCCACTAGGAGCTTCCCGCCAGCTGAATACACAAATGAATTCTCAATATGATGTTTCAGGAGTCATTTGGGGCTTGGCACCTGGAATAGCAAATTTCAAATCGAGGAAGTAGACCAATATTTTACAAAGAAAACAAGGCAGACATCTCCCACAAGCTTATTGCACATATTGAGCATGCACAGGGTCAGGAGGGAGCCACTAGGGAAGGTGCCCTCAGACAGGGTTGAGACCTGACATCCTCGAAACCTCCCGACAAAAGAATGGGGCTCTCAGGAGACCCTGGGGTAAACTAAACTGTGCTGTCTGCAGGAATTTCAACTGTGTAAGGGGTGTGGTAGGCTTGGCTCTGGACCCCGCTGGCAGACTTTGAAGGGCAAGAGAGATGAGCCCATGAGGCTCCCCCAGCAAAGCAAAGAAGGAACTGCTAGGTGAGAAACAACCCTCTCCCCCCACCCTCACCCCTCCCCTCCCCACTTCCTCTTCAGTTTGTGTGAGCATTCTACAGCACAAGACATGGGCTGCTCCAGAAACTGTACCGGGTCCATTGAAGTCCTTTCTATGAGGGGAGCTTAGTGGGACAAGGAGACCTCAGCAAAGAGAGCTGAATGCAACAGCCTCCCAAACCCACACCAATGTTGGGCTTCCGAAGAGCGGATTGGCTATGAGAGCTGCCCCCTCGTGAATGGCGTTAGCACCCTTATAAAGGGGCTCTGGGAGGAGGTTTTCCCTTCTCCCGCTTCCACCTTCTGCTAGGAGAGGATGCAGTACTCTTCCCCTCCAAATACTACATCTTAGTAACAGAAACCTGGCTCTCCCAGAACAATGAACCTTCCAGAACCTTGATCGTGGACTCCCCAACTTCAGAACTGTGAAAATTAACACAAATTAATTGTGTGTACAGTTCCGTTGTTGATAAATTCTCTAGTCTCAGGTATTTTGTTACAGAAGCACAAATATTAAGACATTTTGAAGGTACTGTCAGGTCCTCAGAAGTTACAAAGCCCAGCCAGACTAGGGGTCTATCTGACCTCATTTCTTAATAGTTTCCTAGTTATGGGGATTATGCTCCCTCCAGAACTCTCAAAAAATGACATATTCCTTAACCACAGAAGTGTCAGATACTTCTTTCCTCCTCCCACGCTCCAATTCAAGGGCCAGAAAACAGTTTTCCAGCTGTGAGCACAGATGTGAGACATCAGTGAGCTGAGAGAGAATAAACTATGCCCCTGTGATGGCTATTCTTGTTGTAAACTTGACTAATTAATATCTAGAATCAACTAAAACCCAAGCTGCTGGGATTTTTCTTGATTGAATCATTTGAAGTGGGAAGACCCAACCTAAATTCAGATCTTTTGAGGTGGGAAGATTCATGGGTCACACTTTCTGGTGACAGGACATGAGAGAAGAATCTCTCTAAACACACACACACACACACACACACACACACACACACACACACACACACCACACATGTATTTGCCTGGTTTATCTCACTCTCTCTGGCAAATCCACTCCTTCACTAGCATTAGAGCATACTTCTCTAGGATTCCAGCATCTACTGAAGACTGGCTGAGACTTCCAGACTCATGGGCTGAGCAACTACTGGATTCTTGGACTTTCCATCAGTAAATAGCCATTGTTGGACTAGGTGGACCATAGCCTGTAAGTCATTCTAATAAATCCCCTTATACACACATATACATACATATGTGTGTATGTATATATTCTATCAGTTCTGTTCCTCTAATAATACACTTTCCTTTCCCCATTTACATCTCCTGTCTTCAACAGACACAAAGTCAAAGAGAATTATACATTCTTTGTTTGCCTATTTTTGTTTTTTGGGTTTTTTTTTGTTTTCATTCTTTAAAGGGGGTGGGGGGTTTCATATAGCCCAAGCTAGTCTTGAACTCACTATGTAGCCAAGGATGACCCTGAACCCCAGATCACTCCACCTGTACTTCTCAATTGCTTGAATTATAGGTATGTGCCACCATAACTGGCTCACAGCTTTCAACTAAATGGTATTGAGACTGTGTTTTGACACCTAGGAGGGTCCAGAGATGTCTCGGCATCTGACTGGGTTTATCCACAGGAAGGAAAATCATTTGCCTCACAAAGAAACTTCGAAGAGATCCTAAAAGTCCAAAGTACAGTTGCTTTATGAATACAACCCTTAAGTCATATTAGTTTGACCTAGAGGTTACATAAGAAATATGAGTGAGGCTTTAAATATGGGCAGAACCATGTTCATCTTAAGAATACTGTGGATGTGTAATGTTAGACTGAAGTGCCTATTCTTCCCCCAGCGAGGAAATGAGTTACATAAAGTCGAAGGACATCTCAGCCTCAGACCGTAGACAATCCCCTGTCCCCAGAGGGATTTCTGGGTCTGCTGGGAGGAGCAGACAGTGGTGATCTGAGGCTCCTGCTCCTCGGTGCAGGGGGGTGGGGTGGGATCTGCAGCTGATGCACAGTGACAGAAGCCTGGACTAAGTGATGCTCTTAGCACCAGATAGACTGGCAGGCAGCAGGGAGAAAACAAACGCAAAACCACAAAACCACTCAGATGGAAGAGACATCTCACCAAAGGCTGACGGAGGAATGAAAAAGGAGATGGAACTTGTGAATAATTTTTTTCTCTTGAATCTCCCCCAAAGTAAAGAGTATAATTGAAAGGATACAGACTCCTAAGAAACGCCGTGCTTGGGTCGGATACAGCACAGGAGCCCAGCATTTTATTATCGCTGAGGTGTTGACATATAATTGAGCCAGGAAGCAGCGTGTTCTACAAGGCTGAGCCATCTTCAGACTAGAAAGTGTTAAGTAAGCCATATACCAGAGGGGCCTCCATCCCACAAAGCCTACCCAAGCCAAAGAGGAATCTGGGTGAGAACTTGGGAGGTAAACACCAAGAAAACTATGAAAAGCATCTTAGAGATGAATATGTACAAAACTTTTACAACATAGCAGTTACTCAGTGTGGGAGCCATGATTGTTCTTACAACCGAGATGATGAGGATTCCACCATCTGTTATGCTCAGAACTTGCCGCTAACTCTCCACACTAATGTCCCCAGTTCTGTAAAAGTGGGACAACCACCGCCAGCGGATCGTTAAGGAAGTGGGAGGCTTGCAACATCGAGCCTGGCCTTCATACTCCGCCATATGTTCTGTTTTGTCTTAATACTCTTGGCTGTAAAGTAGAGGAACTTATTCCAGCTAGCAGATGAA